TTAATAGGGACGGAAGTAAAGAGGGTCAAGGGATCATATGCCCCCTAGGTTTTGAAATATATATATATATATATATATATTGCAAATATAAAAGAAAATATTTTAAATAAAAAAATTGATAAAGCTATTATTTGGATTAAAATGTCAATGACATTTTTTAAATTATGAAAACAATAATGGTTGTTTTGATTGAAAATAAAAAGATTACGATAAATTATATTATTATCTATGAAAATTTTAATATAATGGTGATATCTATTATTATTGATATACAAGCATAATTAATCTCAATGAAAATATAAAATTTATTGAATTGTTAGTTATATTTGACATGTGGAATTCATCCTCTATGTGTTTTTTTACTATTGGTTGATGATATCACATGTAAATGATGACGTGGTATTACTATTATATTGAATTTTTACTTATATTTTGTACAAAAAATTACTTTATCGTCATATAATTTATTTTAAAACTTATATCCATGACATTTTTAATATTGTTCATGATACATAAGTTACAAATAACATTACATTCTTTTTTTTAATCTTTTTTGAAGTTAACCGTAAAAATTTATATGAAATATTTTTGTAAAAATTTTTAATATTATAATTAATAAATAACTTCTCTGATTTAATTTTTTGACTTTATCACTGACTCTTAGCACTCTACTGCCACCACCACCCCTCTTAACCCATCCATGCTTTAGTCTAGACCTCCATAACCTAATCTCGCTGCCCACCATTTTTTCAAAACCTTAACTTTTACGGCTCTCTCCACTACAATTCTAACCTCTACAATTTTTTTTTTTTTATTGCAGTGCAAACCTTAGATCTGCTCCAAGGTTGATATCTAACCAAACCTTAGAGGTTTGGATGTGTATTGAGAAATTAGAAAAGATAAAGATTTGTCCTTGAAAAAATTCATCATGTGTGTGTCCTGAGAAGATTTGGTGTTTGGAAATAAAATTACTTTGGCAAAACTAGGGACAACATTGACACAAATTGAGTACATTAAAAACTAATCGGCACAATTGAAACATTGAGAACAAAATTGATACACAATGTACATTTTGGGGACTAAGCTTGCTTGGTTCTATTTTTTCAAAAACACTTTTTAGAAAATTTTACTTTCTTATTCTTCGTATTTTTTTATTTTTACTGAATTTTTTTAATATTTTATGTAATTTTTTTACTTTTTAGACACCTAAAAAGTAAAAAAAATTATAAAAAAAATCTTTTAAAAATTCACTAAATACCAAAAATACAAAAAAAAAATACAAAAATTCAGTACATTTTTTTGTATTTTTATTTATTTATTTATTAATCTTTTAAAATATTTTTTCACAAATTTTTTACTTTTTAAGATCCATCTAAGTAAGGTACATCTAAAAAGTAAAAAAAAAAATGTTAAATTTTTAAAAATATTTACTAAAAACAAAAAAAAAACGAAAATAAAAAAATTCAATTTTCAAAAAATTTAATCCAAAAAACTCAAACCAAACACGCGGTTCGTGTTATTAATCCGTTTGATTAAGTCGGATTTGGGGATCACATTGATAAAAATTGGATATATTAAAATAAGACAAAAAACATAGTTAGGGGACTAGCGATGTAACTAAAAAAAGTGATGCGATGAAAATTGATGATACCAGTGATACTATCCGTCCCGGGTGGATGGGTCGGGCTGGTCCAGACTCTTCAAGTTCCGGTTTGGGGTGGTGATTCCGTCAAATGACCTGCATGCAAGTCCAAAGGGGAACGGGGTAGTCCCCCAGTGAACCCTCCGGTGTGAGAATTAGTAGAGGAAGAGGGAAAATGTAGAGAGAGAGATGGAGAGATAGAAAACTTAACTTTTCTCTTGTCTTCCTATTCTTGCTTATATCCTTTGGTAATCATTTCAATGTCCCTCGTGATGTGCCCCCCTCCGCCGAAAGCCTGTGCTGTAGCTTGCCTTGTTCAGGGCGAGGGGGCTCTGTTCCGACGGGGAAGTGTTGTCGTAATAAATGCTGTGATGGGATGCATTAATGGTGATGTGCTGTGGTAATAACTCTGCAGATCTTTGTCTGCTGATGTGGCCCATGTTCCACCTGCCATGTGCCCGAATGCCATTGGCCCCCCATGTCTAGGTGGCCTCCAGCTGTCCTGGGCTTTGCCAACTGGGTTATGCTATTGGTCCTAAGCGATGGGTTCGGGGTGGTTTGCTATGGGCCGTATGCCTCGTGGGCCTACCCATGTCAAAAATATTCTTTGTTCTGTTACGTAAATTTAATGGAAATTAGATGAAACACATACTTTCAAAATTAAAAATATTATTAAACCTTCTTTTAGGGGTAACCGCATGGGGGGCCAATCCAAACAATAGTTTCCCAAGAGAAAGATCACTGTAGGAACTATCCAATGGAATTATTTTACTTCTTCCGTCTTAAAATATTAATTTTTTATTTTATTTTTTATTGTCCTAAAATATTAGTCCCTTTTCAAAAATTAAGTACAAAAATAATACAAATTTCCTATTTTGCCCTTCTTTTAAATTAATAAATTATATAAAAAGTACAATTATGACATTGATATTTCCAAAAAATGTACTATCAAAAGGGTAATTTTAAAAAATTAACTTTTTTAAAGTGTAATAATTGTACTATCAAAAAAAATTAAATTCCCCAAAAGGGACCATTATTTTGGAGCAGAATGAGTAATTATTAGTTTGATGAAAAATGATCTTTATAGGGTTCGAAAACAAGATCAAATTGTTTGAGAAAAAGAATAGTCCCCCCCTCTAATTAAAAATAAGTGGTCTTTGGGAACTTCACACAACCTATCTAATTCCATAATGACCTATATGCAATTGTAATAAAAAGATGAAAACAAATGAAGAGTCCACAATCTATACTAAATGAAAGGAAGAGACAAGTTGGAGGGTCCGGTAGCAGCAGTGACGGAGTTGAAAAATTAAATCATTAGAAGTACTTATTAATTACAATTAATTTTTGAGGAAAATCGAAAAGCAAGTATTGTGTGTAACTAGTGTATTATGGACAATGTAAAAAAGTTATAGATTTAAGTCGTAAAATAAATTATATAATGGTAAGATAAATCAATTTTTTACAAAATTTGAGTAAAAATTTCATATAATAGTAATATTACATTATTATTGACATATGATATCATCAACCAATAGTAAAGCAACATATGAAGAGTGAATTCCACATGTAAATATAACTAACACTCTAGTAATTTTTACATATATATAGTGAGATTAATTATATTTACATATCAATAATGATAGATATTACTTTTATATTGAGATTTTTTTACAAAATTTTCATATATAAAAATATAATTTGTTGTAGCCACTTCATTTTCAATAAAACAATCACTATTGTTTTCATAAATTTAAAAATACCCTTGACATTTTATTCTAAATATTATTTTTGTTTAAAATTTTATTTATATATATATATATACTTAAAAATGGTAAAAAAAAATTCAAGGGAACACGTGACCTAGTCACCATGTGGCTCTGCCACTGGGTACAAGATAGGAGGTGTGAGGTGCCAATCTTGTCCAACTGTGGTCATTACTCAATATTATTGGTTCATTATAGACAAATTATTAGAGCCATTGATGCACAATACTGAATAGGGAAAACATTAAACACAAACAAAGTTTGAAGTAGTCTTCCTTGATGCACTCTCAATCTTGTCTAAGGGTCTAACTAGTTTGAATTGAGCTTAACCTTGATCCTATGTCGGGTTGACTAGGTTTAGCAGCTACGTAGGTGGATCAACTTGCATGCGCAAGTGCTGTTCAAAAAAAAAAACTTGCATGCGCAAGTGGAGCACCATGGAGGCTTTTTGTATCTTTCAATTTTTTTTTTTCATATTCCGTGTCCTTAAAGTATGCGTTGCATATTACGTTAGCCCTTTAAGTTTTAATTTTGACTTGTTTTGAAAATATGGTTAAAAGTAGCTTTTTGGTGTTTTTAGCTTATTTAAGTCACATCTCCTCTCTATTTTTTTACACGTTTGTAGTCACATCTCCTCTCTATTTTTTTACACGTTTGTTTTTATAAAAAAAGTCCAAAAAAAAAAAAAAACCAAAAAGTTAGCTTTTAAACTACTTTTCAATTTTGTCGCTAAAGTTTTTAATTTGAGTCAAACTAGTATAATTCCATACGGTCGTTTAAATCGTTAATGAATTAACTATAAATTTCAACTATGGTCCCTAAAATATATGTTTTGTGTTATTTTGGTCCTTCAAATATTAATTTTGTCAATTTCGTCCATCAATATTGTAAGGTTATGTTTTATTTTTTTCATGAATGTTTCAAGATCAAATTGACAAAATTAAAAAATTTAGTGACCAAAATAAACTAAACATATTCTTTAAGGATCATGTGTGTATTTTATTACTATTCTGTTAATTACTTAGATGGTCAGTTTGGAATTGAACCAAATTGACTCAAATTAAAATTTTAATAACAAAATTGAAACTTTTAAACGACCAAAATGGCAAAAAAATTGCATATTTAAGCACCATCAATGTATTGTAACCTCTTTTTTTTCCCTATAAAGCAAGTAGAATTATATAAAATATAAAATAAAATAAAAAATCACAAAGGGACCATATTACTAGGCAAAAGATGAAACAAGTGGCACAGACTAGTCTATTCTAGATTCCTTAAAGTCCTCCAGAATTTTTTCTTTCAGATCAAACACAATGATACAAATTAGATTTTCTTGTCCAGATAGCCTAATATTAACCTTCGGTATCTTTTGGTACCCATGTGAAGTCTTGACACTGCCTAGACTGAGTTTGTTGTGTCCGTCTCTTAAATTGATTCTGTTTGGCATGAGATGAGACTTATTACTAAGATTTTTTTATTTTTTTTTTTCCGATTCAAACAGAATTATTATTGTTGCTGTGTTGTGTTGGTTGATTCTTGGACATCTTAGGCTTTTGGAACATATTGTCTAACCAAAAAATAACTTTTCTCAGTAGGTTGATGTTGATAAAGAAGGCAAGGGTGAGTATGATGGGTCCGACTCTAGAACGGTTGAGGAGACTATGGGACCTGTGGGATATTCGAGTGCTAGTTCTCGTTAGTCTCACTTTACAAATCATTCTTTTTATCTTTGGCAATCGCAGAAAGTACATGTCATTGAAATGGATCAACATCTTTGTTTGGTTGGCCTACTTAGCTGCCGATTCGATAGCAACTTTTGCCCTTGGCAATCTCTCTCGTACCAAACTTTGCCCTTGGCAATCTCTCTCGTTCCAAACGGAATCACGATGTTGAGGACAGTAACAATGTCATGGGGGTAATATGGGCATCCTTGCTTTTGTTGCATCTTGGTGGCCTAGATACATAACAGCTTATTCATTGGAAGATAATCAGTTGTGGTTGAGGCACTTGTTGGTATTGGGTGTTCAGGCTACCGTGGCAGTCTTTGTAATTTTTTTTTCTTGGAGAAAAAATTCTTGGGCTTCATATTTGTCACTCCTAGCTTTTGTGGCTGGAATTATTAAGTGTGGGGAGAGAGTGTGGGTTCTCAGGTCAGCAAGCAATGACAAATCGGGAGACATTGTACCGTTTGATAATAATCTAATTGCTGCAAGTCTTGATGGGCGTACCACGGTGGAGGACACATTTGTAAGTGCTCTAGTTATGGGCCATAAGTTGGTCAAGGAATTTAAGCATTATATGGAGAACTACGACACTGGAAGATTTCTTTTCGAATTGCCTACCAATCAGTCGTCCAATGGGATGCAATCGAGGGACAATTTCATGAGTGATGAAACATATTGTGGGATGCATTGGAGGTTGAAACGGGACTTATGTACGATTTGTTCTATACAAAGGCATCCATAATCTATACCAAGTGTGGGTGTGTTATGCGCTGCATCAGTTTTATTTGTACTATGTGTGTGTCGGTACGATTGTTTTGGGTAATATCCAGGAAAGAGAAGTTGCACAACAAGCAGTACTACGACTTCATAATTGACGTTAACATCACAAGGGTGCTGCTTGTAAGAGCTCTAGTGTTGGAGATTTATGCAGTGATGGTAATATTATCTTCTAATTGGACATTGCTTTGGCTAATTGAGCACATGAAAGGAGAATGGGTGATCCAGTTGAGACAAAAATTCCCTCGATTTTACCAAAAGAAGAAACGGTTTGAGAAGGTAGGGCAATTTGACCTGCTTGGTTTTTGCTTAAAAAAAAACGAGCCTGCTAGGTTTTCTTGCATTAGAAGCCTACTTAGACCTTTGGGATTTGAAGACAAGTTTAATTGGTACATGCATTAGACTTGTGTGGATGTACCTCCTAATCTATATAGGATGATTTTAAACTACTTTCATTATTGGAGTAGTCCGAATGTGCCAAGACTAGATGAGATTGCTCAAGCTAGCTTAATATCCACCGTGATGGTCTTACATCCTCAACTCCCAGCTTTTTACGAGCTAATCGTTATTTTTTACTTGGCAACGGAAATGTGCTACCATTTGAACTTGAATGATACTTCCCAACAAGGTGCGAACTCCTTTGGAGGTGGTGACCAAATTAAGGAAACATGCAAAACTTTGTCGCATTACATGATGTATCTTCTCCTCATATGTCCTTCAGCATTGCCCATCGCTCTATATGACACTGAGTTGGCAAACTTGATCCATGAGCTCAAAGTGTTTCTTAATGATGCACATAATGAAAAAGAAGCTTGTGGAAGGTTGAAAGATTATTCCATACAATTCCAAGACTCAAAAAATCTACGCCGCATATTACTTGTTGCACAACATTTTGTCAAAAATTTCTTGGGATGGGAAACACTAAAATCCCTGTGGTTAGGAATGCTGGGCTATGCAGCAATTAAGGGGCAAAAAAATCATCATCTTGAACAACTCAGACAGGGGGGCGATTTTCTCACTTTCTTGTGGTTCTTTATACCGCAATCTAATATGTTGGATACAATTGACACTGCACGAGTGTGTAGAAAAATAAATAATCAAGTGACTCAGCTTATGACGAGTAGCATTGATAGTTATGCAGTTTAGAAATATTATCAATATGGGAATGGTTGCTTCTTTTGGAGGTCCTTTTGCCATCTTACGGACAATATGGGGCATGTTAAGAATGATTGCATCTTCAATAATAAGCCGATAATTGAATGGAAATCAATAGCAGAAGTTGTGAAGACCAGAATCGCCTTTTGGGTGAAGCGAGGATGGAAGACAAAAAATTTCACTATCAATGAGTTCATCTTCGAGTTGCGACAGGTCACAGGTAATGGATCTCTATTATGACATTGGAATGATAATTTGTAGGTGTTTGGAAATGCTTAACTTCAATTTTAGTGAACTTTAGATTTTAGTGTGATTTTAGATTTCAGTTTTAAGTAGAAGTTGTAAATGTATTTGGTGAAAAATAAATTATAACTTTTAGTAATAGTGGCCGATAACAAAACAAAACTTTTAGTAATAGTGTTTTTGTAGAGTGTTTGGTTGAAAAGTGATTTTTTGTTGTGTAGTTGTGAGTAAAAAGTTAAAAGATGAGAAAAAAAATACACATTTTCTTACTTTTACAAAAACAGGACTAAGAAAGTTGAAGTTTAAAATAATAATAAATAAATAAAAACCAACCCCTGTTTGGCACAACTTAGCTTCTTCTCTTATTGCAGAAGTTGTGAAGACCATAATCGCCTTTTGGGTGAAGCAAGGATGGAAGACAAAAAATTTCACTATCAATGAGTTCATCTTCGAGTTGCAACAGGTCACAGGTAATGGATCTCTATTATGACATTGGAATGATAATTTGTAGGTGTTTGGAAATGCTTAACTTCAATTTTAGTGAACTTTAGATTTTAGTGTGATTTTAGATTTCAGTTTTAAGTAGAAGTTGTAAATGTGTTTGGTGAAAAATAAATCATAACTTTTAGTAATAGTGGCCGATAACAAAACAAAACTTTTAGTAATAGTGTTTTTGTAGAGTGTTTGGTTGAAAAGTGATTTTTTGTTGTGTAGTTGTGAGTAAAAAGTTAAAAGATGAGAAAAAAAATACACATTTTCTTACTTTTACAAAAACAGGACTAAGAAAGTTGAAGTTTAAAATAATAATAAATAAATAAAAACCAACCCCTGTTTGGCACAACTTAGCTTCTTCTCTTATTTATTTATTTTTTTCCCTGAAAAAAAATAAAATAAAATAAATAAAAAAGAAGAAAGGAGCAACTTTTGAGTTGCCCCAAACAAGCCCTTTCTATTGTTTGTGCTGTGGCTAGCTAGAAGGATGGTTTTTGCTCGTCTTCTTTTTGTTGATGGAATGAAAAACTAGGTGCCCTGTTTTTGTTGGTCTTTTCTGGTTTGTTTGTTTTTTTGGTTTGTGCTTCCATTTGATTTGCTTTTTATTTGGTGCCAACCTAATTGAGATAATGAGGGTTGTAAACTATGATTTTGTCGGCACTTTTCCCTTTTCTTACTATTTTTGTATTTTGCTAGATTGTTCTAACTCAATTGATCAATAATATTTTTCTTTCATTTTGCTGATAAAAAAAGAAAAGAAAAGAAAAGAAAGATACTATCAATAATAGATACTCTAATTTTCCTAAAATACACATGGTGTGTACCATAAAAATTTATGAATGTGTATTGTTAGTTACCAAAGTGTACATTAAACATTCGTTGTATGGTCTTGTTAGGCTGTGACTTTTTGTTGTGGTCTAATGCCACAAATGTTCATAACTTATGCTGGAAAAAAGTCCTAACAAAAGTTCCACAAAATCTAATAACAAAGCCACAATACAAATATTTGTAACTAAAGTAACAGATGTTCATAACTAACACTAAAGGATTACAAAACATGTATGCACGATATATACAAATTGAAAGGTTCCATCCTATCTAATCTTTTTTAACTATCAATAATATCACTGTTCCAACCACACGTAGTCACATTCTCTCTCACTCACTCTCACAGACTCTCACTTTCGCTCTCACTCACTCACTCTTAGAGATACCGGAAAAAAATCCTAACAAAAATTTCACAAAATCTAATAACAAAGCCACAATACAAATATTTGTAACCAAAGTAACAAATGTTCATAAGTAACACCAAAAAATTACATAACATGTATGCACGATATATACAAATTTTTGAAAGGTTTCATCCTATCTAATCTTTTTAAACTATCAATAACATCCCTGTATGATCTTTTTAAACTATCAATAACATCCCTGTTCCAGCCATACGTAGTCACATTCTCTCTCACTCACTCTCACAGACTCTCAGTCTCGCTCTCACTCACTCTTAGAGATACTGGGAAAAAAGTCCTAACAAAAATTCCACAAAATCTAATAACAAAGCCACAATACAAATATTTGTAACTAAAGTAACAAATGTTCATAACACCGAAAAATTACATAACATGTATGCACGATATATACAAATTGAAAAGTTCCATCTTATCTAATCTTTTTAAACTACCAATAATACCCATGTTCCAACCACAGGTAGTCACATTCTCTCCCACTCACTCTCACAGACTCACTCTCGCTCTCGCTTTGACTCACTCACTTACTCACTCACTCTTAGAGACGTAAGGAGTGTCAAGGCCTTATTTTTGTTAGAGGAACTGAAATAACCATACCACAGCAATCCTCAAAATATGTGCAGAAGCATACCATAAATATAGCACCCTTAATGTTGCTGGAATAGACCATTTTCTTTTCCAGATGACAAATTCCATCCTTGAAACATTGTTGAACTAGTAGAGAACTTAGATTTCAAGATAATGGTTGGCCTCATAATTCAAGATGAACAACATTAATGTAAAGTACCGTACGTACATTTGTTTCACATGATTAAACTATGGAAGAAAAAATTAAAACTAGAATGAAAAGAAAAGGAAATTGAGAAACTATGAAAGATCAGTTAAATATCGATAATCTGAAAGAGCGGAATTGACACCCTTGATCGGTGCAAATAATCATACATTAATGGACTTGTAACGATTGAACAAAAATTAAAAAGATAATTTATGTGATGCTTACATAACCATCTATATGGATAATTTCTATGCTACATAATTATCTATATTACTTGTAGTAAGCTGCGTCACCTGATTATTAATACGTCTGCCCACTTTTGCGGCATCAATCCTATCCAATATATTAGATTGGGGTATAAAGAACCATAACAAAGTGAGAAACTGGCCTCCTTGTCTAAGCTGTTGAAGATGATAATTTTTGTCCCCTTTAATTGCTGCAAACCCCAGCATGCCCAACCACAAGGATCTCAGCCTTTCCCATCCCAAGAAGTTTCTCACAAATTTTTGTACAACAAGTAGTATCCGACGTAGATCGTAGGGGTCATGTAATGTTATGGGATAATCTTTCAACAATTCACAAACCCTGCTTACATCCTCCTCATCCTTAATGAACATTTTGAGATCATGGATCAAGTTTCCTAACTCGGTGTCCGAAAGATTGATGGGCAACGCCCAAGGGCACATGAGGAGTAGATACATCATGTAATGGGACAAAGTCCTGCATGTTTCCATAATTTGTTTTTCATGTCTAGAGGAGTTAGCACCTCGTTGGTCGGTAATATTTAACTCCAAATGGTAGCAAATTTCTGTTGCCAAGTGAACAATCACGATTAGCTCATAAAAAGCTGGAAGATGAGGATCTAAGACCTTCATGGTGGATATTAAGGTAGCTTGAGCAACCTCATCTAGTTTCACTACACTTGGCCTACTCCAATAATAAGCGTAGTTTAAAATCGTGTCATATAGATTAGGAGGTACAACCACCTGAGTCTTATGCATGTACCTATCGAATTTTTCTTTAAGTCTACAAGACAACATAGCAGGCTTATTTTGTTTAAAGCAAAAACCCAATAGGTCAAATTGCCCTACCTTCTTAGACCATTTCTTTTGTTTGTAAAACCAGGGGAATTTTCGTCTCAATTGGATCACCCATTCTCCTTTCTTGTGTTCAATTAGCCAAAGCATTGTCCAATCAGAGGCTAATATTACAATGATTGCATAAATCTCCAATGCTAGAGCTCCAAATAGCAACACTCCTGTGATGGTGACGTCAATCATGGAGTAGTTGTAGTGCTCACGATGCCAGTTCTCTTTCCTACATATAGCCCAAAACGATCCTACCAACACAGACATAGTACAAACAAAGCTGATGGAGCGCATAACACACCCTCGCTTGGTATACATTATGGATGCCTTCGTATAGTATAAATCATACATAAGTCCCATTTCGACCTCCAATGCATCCCAAAAATATGTATCACACTCGTGAATTTTTCCCTCCATTGCACCTTCGTTGACAGCTGATTAGAAGGAAATTCAAAAACAAATCTACCAATATCATAGTTCTCTATATAACGCTTAAATTGTTTGACCAACTTCTGCGCCATGACTAGAGTTCTTATATACTTGTGTTCCTGACCATCAAGACTTATGTCGGCTTGCTTTTTAAATGGTACAATGTCTCCCAAGTTGTCATCACTCGCTGACTTGAGAACCCACCACACTCTCTCCACATAAAAAATAATTCCAGCCACGAATGCTATGAGTGACAAATATGAAAGCCGAGAATATTTTCTCCAAGATATAATAATGACAAAAATTGCCACAGTAGCTTGAACACCCAGTACCATCAAGTGCCTCAACCACAACTGATTATCTTCTAAAGAATAAGCTGTTATGGTATTTGGGCCACCAAGCTGTAGCAAAAGCAGAGGTGCCCATATTGCTGGAAATACATTGTTACTGTTATCACCTAGGGCATCAGATAGCTTGCTAAGGGCAACAATTGCTACCCAATCAGCGAGTAAGTAGGCTAGCCAAACGACAACATTGATCCACAGTGACGACATGTACTTCCTGCGGTTGCCAAAGACGAAAAGAACGATTTGAAAAGCAAGACTGAGGAGAACTAGCACTCGAACATCCCACATGTCCCATAGTATCCTCAACAATGTTGGAATTGGATCCATCACACACCTATCTTCTTTAAAAATGTCAACATATGAAAAAAAGTTAATCAGTTCAAGCTATATATTTTGAGGTTAATTAGCTATACAAATTGTTCAAAAAGTTTCAGATGTTCAAGTGCAATAACAAACCAATTATTAAATGAAATCAAAACAAAACAAAATGTACTATTAGATTGTTGTTGGTAAAAGAGCCAAAGTAAGCAATTTAACCACATCCACGATCTTTTGACAACCACCAGATCATATTATAAGCCAAAGTATGTGAAATTCAGTAATGCTTTTTCTTATGCAAATACTAGATTATTTTTTCCAAACATTTATGCAAATACTTAGATTAGTAATCCTAAAACTTGAAAGTAGCTGGAAACTAAAGGAACACCAAAATTAATAGAATAACTCCTCAATTTTCATCTAAGGAACACCAAACTTGGGTTGTTTCTATTTAAGAACTAGGATCTTGTGTTATTGCAATGATTTTTACTTAATATATGTTGCTAAAACTTCTGTTTATTCATAGTTGTTAGTTTCTTCTTGTAGCTAAGATGTCAAAAAAAAAAAAAAAGGTGTAACAATCAGATTAAAAGAACTCACCTTTGGCTCATCAAGAAGCCAAGAACAAGAACAAAAGAGCCAAACACAATTAAATGTTGTTTCGTGGCACATCTTCTATGGATTAATTGAATGGCTCTCATGAATTGGGATTATCCACATAGATCTTTCATTTTTTAACAGCTAAATTACATTCGCAAAGCCAATTGGTGGGTGCAAAATATTTGGGTGTGTGTAGAAAGAAAAAATGACAAGACCAACTTGAGCAAGGAGAGAGAAACCAAATGAGAGAAAAAAACAAAGGGACTAAGAGAAAGAACTGAGAGAGCTAATTTGCTTCTCCTGATAATTGTGATATTTTTCTTTCATCAAATTTAAAAGTGCTAAAAAATCATCTCTCCAATGGTTTCACATTTTCTTTCGTCAAATTTAATTTGATGAAAAAGTGCTCAAACATCATCTATAATCCTTTTATCCAATGTTCATCAAATCAAAGAGTCATTCTCCGTATCAAATTAAAAACTCATGAAATCGTTCATTAAATTTGAATTTGATGAAAAATTTAAAAAATGAAGCATTAGAAATGATTTTTATTCATCAAATTTGATGAAAAAGATAATTTGGGATAAGTGGGGAATTTTAAAAAAGATTTTGATGAAAGGATTATTTTTTTTACTCAAATTTGGAATTAAATTAGATGAAAAAATTGGTGAAACTAAAGATGTGCATGATAATGTTTAAAAAAAAAAAAATTTAAAAAAAATCCAAAGTAAAGTTCTTCCTTATTCCATAAGAAAAGGTTCAGAAATATGACATAGTCCCACAATTAATTTCAAAAAATTAAGATAAATATGGTTCAATGAAAACTAAATAAATAAATAAATAAATGAAGCAAACGGGTTCAACTGAACTAGATAGTTGAGATCGTAACAATCATTAAACAAAGCTTTTTACCAATAAGAGTTTATTAAAAGATTTCACTAGGTCAAGTCTGGTTTAGTTGAACTTATAAATCAAATCCATAAATAAAATAGAGAGGGAAAGAAAATACCTTTGTAATGAATGAGAATTGAGATAAGATCAAAAACACACACTAATGATGTTTCAGTTAAGCCTCCAATTTCTTCATCTTCGCTCACTTTCACTAGCGTTTTTTTTAAGCTTAAAAACCTTCTCTTCTGTTTTTCCAGCCGACTAAAACGAATAATTGCAGTTTGGTCTCAAAACACTTTGCTCGTTTTTTACGTTTTTTGTTTTTGTTTTCTTAAAAAGGGAGCAATACGGAGGGCTCTCCTTGATGTGAGTTTTCTTTTTTTTATAAATATTTTTCAGCTCATTAGAATTATTAATGATGTGTTTTTTAGTGGTCCCAATCAATAATTGTGTTATTTTTTTGGTTCGTGTCTAAAACGCCAAATTGGAATATGGTTGAAATTAATTTAATCTATTAAAATATATAATAGGTTAAATATTATATTTAAATTATAATTATTTTAATTTTTTACTTATAAACTTATAAAATAATCAAAAAGTTCATCTCAAATGGAATTTTTTTAATTAGGCTAAAATAATCAAAAAAAAATTATATTAAATTTTTTTTTTCCAAACAAAGGATTTTTTATTTTTTTTAAAGCTTTGTTCATCTTTTAATCATTTTTTTTGTTTTTTTAATATTTCAGATGTACTTTATCTAAATATATTTAAAAGGTTAAATATTTGTGAATAAATTTAAAGAAATTCAATAAATACAAAAAATATATATACTATTTTTTTGGTATTTTCTTTGTTGCATTTAGTGAATTTTTAAAAAAATGACAAATTTTATATTTTTAAATTTATCTAAATTAAGTGGCTCTAAAAAGTTAAAATATATATATATATATATATTAAAAAAATTAAAAATCAATAAAACTAAAAAATAGAGATTAAAAACTCAAATTTTATTTTTGAAAACTGTTAGATCAAACATAAAGTTTTAAAATATAAATTGAGGATCCAAAAATTTTGGGCCTTCCTAATTTAGATTGAGCCTCTATAAAAAAATAAAAATAAAAATCTTTGGATTTTAAATTCAAGTGGCCTTTATTATTATTATTATTATTATTTTCTTTTTTGTTTTTAAGGACTAATACAAGAGCTAAATTAATTAATTTTGGGACCATTTTTCTAGCTATGTTTTTTGGGCCCCAACGCGGCTGATTTGTGAGTCTTTGACTTGACTTAAAGTCGGTCGGGACTAATCAAGTGTGCGAAAAAGGGCAACGAAAGAACATGAAAATTAATTAATTTTTTTTAAACAAAAAAAATGAGTTGGCAAGAAGCATACATGTGGTACGGATGAAAGTGTTGTGTGTGGTTCATGCTTGGATTCCAACTTGAAGTTAAAATTCTCAACTATAAATAAACATTATCATCTTTGGACGACGTTTTTAGAATTTTATTATAGTTCATGTTCAATGATGGGTGATACCATACTCTTTAGGTTTTTTTGTCAAATATTTTCTAGCATCTTTGATGGAAGAATTTTTTTTTCTTTTCTTCTTTCCGCCGTGGCTCGTCTTCGTCTTGTTCTTGTTCTCAATTAGAATTAGTGTGAGACAAGTCCCCCTCCATAGTAAGAACCAAAAGTTATCATTGACAGAAGATGAATGATAATTTTTCCAATTCTTTTTCTTTTTCCTTTTCTTATTTTATTGCTAATTATTTATTAGGAAAATTACATGATCATCCCAAAAAATATATAATAAGTTCGACAAGTTTAATATAACTACACTAACCCCTTTTTGGCAAGACTAAAGGAGACATGAACAAACAAAATAAAAAAGACATTCCAACATAAAAGAGATAATAACACAATTTTTTCAACTATATGACTAATGAATGGCTGATGAATATAGAGATTAGTATTTTATGAATTAAAATCTTAAAAGAAATATTCCAACTTACTGGGCTCAACTCAATGTATTATCTCTAAACCTGAAAGAATGTGTAACTTACCCTTATTTATTTTAAACCTGAGCAGATTTATGATCCATTCAACACAAACAAGTCAATAAAATGAACAGTTTTGACAAATGTATCAGCTATTTACTGCTTGAGACCTAAGAGCTGACAATTGTTTTAGGAGGTTAATAATTGTACCATTTTGCTCAGAGGCCCCTTTCTACCTTACTTGATTGATTATTCACAATCTTTTTGTTTCTATGTACAAAATAGACATGGAAATATGAACTAAACACCCAATGCAACAAAAAAAAAAGAAAAAAGAACAGACATTTTGATCATTTTTCAGAAAAGGGCTAATTGAGATCGATGTCGATGCGTTCAGGATTTCCCCGCTCTGTCTGGTTGTCGACAAGCTCGACACCCAGCTGGCCTTTGTCACCGGCACCAAATGCATACAATTTACCGGATTCAGTGAGTGCAAAAGTGTGGGCATTCCAATAGATAGAATTGGTGAGGCTGATCTGTACTATTCGCTCCTTTGCTTGCTTCAGCGATGTTACTACGTCTGGGCTTAGAACATTTGTGTGCCTAATCACCTGGAGAGAAATGGAAACACAGCCCAATTATCAGTATACCTTGGTTAAAGTGGGGAGGCTACAAGATAAATTTCTCTCTCTCTCTCTCTCACACACACACACACCAACACACTATAGAGCTCCCATACACACTTGAATGTAGCCAAAGGGCCGGAAAGTGCACATGCAGAAATGGTCATAACCAAAAGGGCAAGAGAGTTGCACACACAACGCTACGAACTCACAAAACAATCAAAACATAACTTTGGTTGCTTCTAAACCGGTCAGCAAGCATATTGAATTGCATACCTGCTACACTATCAATGAAATTACACAGAATTTACAAGTGAAGATCACGTTGTACTGTAGCAATCATGTTCAGCAAGAATTACAATACATTCATAGCCATACATAAAACACATAATAACATGAAGGAACTTGAAAAGATGGAAGGCATGATGTGCTTTGAGAAAAAAAAAAAAAAAAACTACTTATGTTACCATAGAAGCATTCACAACAAAATCGTAATGTTGCAAATGATCCAGGAATCAAACAGATGTTTGCATTTCATTAAGACCAAAGTTTTAAAAGGCATTATACATGTGAGTCTAATGCAAAACACATCAAGACTTTGATTTCTAGGTGATACTCTCCAAAGGCTTGCGCATCACAATTTGAGATGTGCACTTTGTATGCCCTTTGTACATAAGCATATGGAGAGGTTGTCTTATGAAGTTAAATTAGTTTAAACCTTAAAAAGAGAGAAAAAAAAGAAAAAAGAAAAGAACATCCTTTGTAACTATATTTCATTAAAAAATAAAGTAAATAATCAACTAAGAAAAAACACAAAGCTAAGGCTCAAGCAAGAAACTCGGCAACTGAACTTAAGAAAGTCAATTTCACCTTTGATGAGGGCAAACTTCCTTTTCTATGGTGAAATGTTTGACGCATTGAGGATACAATTTATTTATACCTTTATATTTAATTTTTAATACACTTTTTTTACTATTTTAAAAAAAAATTTACTTATTTACTAAATAGAAAAATTCAAAATGCTTACATCTTGCACCTAGAGGCACAAGGGGTGTTACAAGTTACACATTACTTTACCTCAATAAACATCGATGTATAAAAATCACCTTAAATGGTGTTCACTAGTTAGAGAGTAGCATATACTTCAGGACTTCTTTATAAACTTGGGAAATTATGCAGAACCTAACAGTCAAGCCAATAAAGCATGTTTTAATTGTACTAGAAAATAGTGTAGGAGAAAAGCCATACCTGCCCATCAAAAACACCAGTGTTATGTCCAAGACTAGATGATTCTCCACATCCAAATGAGAACACATCACCATCTTCAGACACCACAAATGTTGTGTAATCCCCAGTAGCAACATGAACAGCTTTGACCCCACTCAACGCCTCTACCACCTTAGGAGCTGATTCACAGTCTTCGTTCCCATGTCCCAAACATCCATAACGCCCCCAACCCCACGTACAAACCCTTCCGTCCTTCCCCACCACAGCAGCATGCCACGCACCGGCTGCAACCACTACAGGCTGAAGATTCAAAGTCCGAAACTGTTCAATCAATTTTGGGTACTTTTCATCAGTTCTTGTTCCATGTCCAAGCTTCCCACCCAAGCCACATCCAACAGAATACACCGACCTGATCATATTATCAAAAGAACAACAATATCTAAGCATTTATGTATAAAGGACACTACGTGTGTGAAATTTAAAATAACAGTTATTTGAAGTACTTGGATCTGAGAAAATTAAAACAGTAGAGAGCAATTATTGTGTTTTGGGGATACTTTGCAAAAAGAAAAAAGCATGACAGTCTCAGGTGTAGAATTACATAGTAGTATAGATGAAAATTAATTGCACAACGCGGGGGCGGGGAGCAAGGGCATAACGAAGTTTGTAAGGTTGGGAGCCCCAAACCGTGTATATTATTTTGTAAACTAAATACATAAATATATTCTTTTCTTCTTCTTTTTTTTTTTCTATGTAGTTATAAATGTGTTAAAATATGAATAAATATTAGAGATTGATGTCAACTACAAATTGACTTTGTTAAGAATAAATAAATATTATGAAAATAGAAACTACTAGAATAAACTTGAGTTGTTTTTCGTTTGTTTATGAGACTTGTATGTTTGAGAGGTTCTATTTGGAGTGAGTTTCTTCACCAATGGAAGCACGTTTCTTGGTAGTGCGGAATCACATTTCTGAGTAAGAAATGTCACTCAAGTGGGAGTTTCCTGCTACTAAGATATGAAACATTACATTTGAAAACTTTTATCAAGGTCAAGAGATGAACAAGAAGCTCACATGCCACTAGGTTGACATGCCAAAGCAAGAAGGTAACAGTATCCAGCTGCAATTTGAACCACCGGTATATTCTCCAGTGCCCCGAGTAAAGGATAGGGTTCCAAATCATTTGGCTCAGTTTGGTGACCAAGTTTGCTTTCATTTCCCCAAGAAAACGTATAAACCCTTCCTTCTCTTGACAACACAGCAGTGAAGAAATTTCCAATTGCCGCTTGCACCACAAATATGTTTTTCAAAGACTCCACGAGCTGTGGGGTAGTAACTAGTTTAGTTCCTTGAGCCCCATACTCTGCTTCCCCAAACGAGTCTTTCCCAAAGGCATATACCTGCCCCGAATCACTAATTAGCATTGTCCGGCCAGCCCCAGCAGCTGCTTGAATAATACGAACACCTTGAAGTGATCTGCAGCAGAAAAGATCCAATTAATTTTCCCTGAACTGACCTAAGAAGCACAGACACGACACAACATTGCCACACTGACACAGAAATTTTCAAAAAATGGATGACATGACATGTGGCAAACACATGCAAAATATATAATTATACATTTGTTATATGTCATAAACAAGAATAAATAATTATTATATATCATACATATGAATATTTAAGTCAAACATAATAATTTTTAAAGTCTAAAAGAGAAGACGTACTAATTTACACTTTTTTATTTGTCATCGGATTCCAAGTTCTTTTATTCAAATTTGTAATGTATTTCATGTGTGTCTCAGTAATAAAGTATCCAACGAGTGTTGTGTCGATCTTCTTAGAAGTGTCTATGCTTCTTAAATGGGAACCGATCTCCTATATTCTCACTTCTACATTATCAGGCCGAAAATTATAAAAAGTTAAGCAACCTGATTTGACGAGGCCGCCACTCCTCTTCCGTAGTGCCATGTCCAAGCTGTCCCGAGCTGTTAGACCCAAATGAGTAAACAACTCCATTAGAAGTCACAGCGATACTGTGACTTGGCCCTGCTATTGCTTGCGATTTTTCTCGCCTTGAACACACTTCTCCAGCCAGCAAGAATCTCAGGACCAGTTTCCATGAGCCCCCACATCTTTCCTTCAAATATTGACGTTCATCAGCTGTCATTGGCTTAAATATAGCTCTCTTCTGACACATGTCGAGAGCAGCAAGCTCTGATAAGGACAGCTCATGATCAGGGGCAAACTGGGCAGGCTGCCTAAAGAAGGAACATGTCGCCTGCAACACACAATCACAATTCAATCAGCAGCATCATCAATTCTAACATCGACAAAATAGTCCGCTATTAGAACAGAAAGAAAAGGAGCACTTGCCTCTAGGCTCGCAAGATCATGAGGATCCAAATTACACGTGGTGAGGACATGAAGAACAATAGAGGGACTCGCAGACAATGGGAACTCCCCGGGACTTGCAACGCCAAAGCAATGTCGTTGTTGTCGTAGAAATGCCGGTACACCAGAGGTGACAAGAGCAGCAATTGACTGCTCGGGGATATTACAGTATTGAATAGGTGGGGTTCCACGCGTTGTGGCATCCATGGGCACTGCTTAAGCGTGCAGTGCCCAGACTAGGCAGAGAAGATCTAAATGATGGAAATGAAGTGAAAAAATCACTACATTGAGTTGATTGGACACTACAGAATGTAAATTTGAGCTTCAAACTTTATAACTAATTGAACATACAAGTGATAATTTTATGAAAAAGTATCTACCTTAAATAATGTACCGGTCAGCAAATTTCAGGTATCACACCTACATACAAAACACACTATCATAAACACATTTTTTATTGGACCTGAAGTGGAAAAAAAACACAATGTGAACCAAGTAACTGCATAAATTTTCTTCATTTGGTATATAGAATTGATCAAAAGCTAAATTGACAGGCACCGTAAAATCATTGCTACAAACTAATAAAACAAGTATGAAAGATCCAAAAATAAACGTAAAAAAGGTGACTGAGTGCACGAGGCTCCTGCTAAAGTGGGACCCCAAATTGGAAAGTACAATGTGATGCAAGTAAGCAGACAAATTTTCCTCATTTGGTATATATAATCATTAGATGAAGTAGAAGATGAAAAGACAACTAAACCACATGCACTAAACTGATCAAAAGCTAAATTGATGTGCACCATGATTGCTACAAACTAATAAAATAGGTATGCAGGATCAAAAAATAAACATACAAAAGAGCGACACGAAGCTGCGGCTAAAGCGTGATCCTGAAGTGGAAAGCACAATGTGAACCAAGTAATAGGAAAAAAATTCTTCATTTGGGATATAGAATTGTTAGATGAAGTGTAGAAGATGAATAGATAACTAAACCACATGCACTAAACTGATCGAAAGCTAAATTGAATGATTGCTACAAACTAATAAAATAGGTAAGGAGGATCCAAAAATAACCATAAAAAACACAAAACTCCCCACTAAAGCAATCTCTCCCCCTTCCTAGAGGGACTATTTCTGTGACTCAAATTGCGTCACCAGGGACACTAAAGGGAAGCTTACTGTTGGGCCAAGCCGCCCTTTGTCCAAAAATAAACATATAACTGGAAAGAAGATAACATTCTGTGAGTCCATGATACGAAAATATGATCAATAAAGCACAAGAAACTTGAAAATATGATCAAACAAGTAAATCGAACTGAGAACCAATTGATGCACCAAAAAAGAAGAAATCTGTCACATGAAGAATACTAATCCTTCAACAAAGGATATTTCACAACCAAAAGGAAATGAATTTCCACTTCGATTCACAAACAATCATCATACATAACAATGAAACCCAATAATTCAGATTCAATAAATCAAAACAAACCAATTAGATACAAACCCAGAAAAGAGATTGAAGTTAAAAAAAATTCTTCACAGGAATCAACCACATAAAATCTGATCTTTTAACGTGAAAAAGATCAAAGGATGATCAGACCATATCAGCTAATTCTACAACTCATCACGCAACCCAAGAGACAATAGATTTAAGTAAAAGTGAAAATTTATCATAAAAAACAGAACATAATCACAAATGGGTAACTGCTGAATCTGCACATTACATGTCATAGAAACCCAAGATTCCTCAAAACCCATGTGAAATCCGTCAATTATTCCCGATGGATTCACCAAAAACAGCAAAATTTCAGATCAAATTGAAGAGTATGGAAAGGGGTATCTGATCAAAACATATTCAAGACTCTCTGAGGTGATTGTTTCTCGCAGGAAAATAGTGAATCAAAAGGAATAGAAAACAAAGGGATTGTTGATGGGATGTTTTTGGAAGAATTGAGAAAGAGAAAAAGAAAGAAAGAGAGAATTTCGATGCTTTTGTTGGGAGTGAATGAACATATATATATATATAGATATTGATTTATATATTGTGAATTGGGTGGTTGTCATCTGTACGTTTATTCAAGGGACGAGACGAGACGAGACGAGACGAGGTGTCTCCCTTCGGTGCTTGTAGTTCAAGAAGCCTGCCAATGTGCTTACGCTACACACGCCAGCTTATTTTGAGAAGTAAATTGAAAATTAACAGCTTGCTTAATTTCAATTTTTTTAAAAATAATATTAAAAAAAATTTACTTTCTTATTTTTCATATTTTTTTATTTTTATTAAATTTTTTTAATATTTTAAATATTTTTTTTTACTTTTAAGACATACCTAACATAAATACACCTAAAAAGTAAAAAAATTATAAAAAAAAGTCTTTTAAAAATTTACTAAATACCAAAAATATATATAAATTCAGTACAATTTTTGTATTTTATGTATTTATTAATTTTTTAAAATATTTTTCACAAATTTTTTATTTTTTAAATATATTTAAGTAAAGTGCATCTAAAAAAAAATTACTTTAAATTTTAAAACTATTCATTAAAAAAAAAAAACAAAATACTCAATTTTTAAAAAATTGAAACTAAACACACTCATAAATTTTTGGAGCTAAACTTAAACAAACTATTACATAGTTCCATAAGCTTATATGCTTTATAAAGAATGTGACTATTTCCAAAAAACTCAAATCACCACACTAAATTTTTTCATTTTTTAATTATTTTTTAAAAATTATATTAAAAAATAACAAAATAATGTGACTTAAAAAGTCCTATGTCAAAATAAGCTTATATATCACTACAAACTCGACATAAAAATTTAGAATTTTTTTAAATTTTTATATTAATTAATCAAATTCATTTCATATATAAGTCCAACTCATTTTCCATAAATTTATATTTCAACAATTTAATATTTACCATCCAAACCTATTTGTGAGTACATTTTAGATCGCAAATTCTTAGGCCTTAGGTTTTTTTGTTGGTATATATACACAGCATATATATGTGTGTTTTTATTTAAAAAAATAAATAAATAATAGATAGTCCCTAAATATTATATATTAAAGTAAATTACAAATATAATTTTTAAATTTTATTTAAAATACGAAATTAACAACAAAATAAAAAATAAAAATTGAACTATTTTTCTATACAACAATAAAATTACCATAATTATTAATTGAAATATATTTATGACATTATTAAAAACTATTAATTGACTTAATAATTTATTATAAAATGAGTCATTTGTTATGTGATTATAAATTTGAAAGGGTGCGATATAATTTTCTGAATTAATTTTCAGAAGTGAGGATTGAGGACCAAGAACTGCTTAAGAGTGAATATTTTCGTTATTTAAGGTTGATTATCACAATAGCGAGGGAGATTGATGCAGATATGGCCCATAAAATTAAGGCGGGATGGTGTAAGTGGAGAAGTGCGTCTGGGGTACCGTGCAATAAACGAATACCCACTAGACTAAAAGGTAAGTTCTATAGAATGACTATTAGACTAGCGATGTTGTATGAGACGGAGTGTTGGGCAATCAAAAAACAACATATAGATAAGATGAGTGTGACTGAGATGAGAATGCTAAGGTGGATGTGTAGCAAGACTAGACAAGACAAGACAGAATTAGGAATAAGTATATTCAGGAATGGATAGGAGTAGCATCGATAGAAGATAAGTTGAGAGAGAATTGATTGAGATAGTTTGGTCACATTCTACGGAGACCAACACAGGCAGTAGTGAAGAGATGTGATGCTGTAACGGTAGAGGGGAGTGTTAGAGGATAGGGTAGGCTTAGATTAACATTGGCTAACGTTGTAAATAGAGATATAGATCTACTTAATTTGAATAACGAAATGGCTTTTGATAGGGCCACGTGGAAAAGAAAGATTCATATAGCCGATCGCATTTGGTTGGACTCAAGACTTGGTTTGGTTTGATTACATAAAGTAATTCGTGTTTTAAACAAATCTTATGTGTTATATTTGTAATTTACTCTTAAAAAATTATTAAGTAGTTTCTAAATATTATGTACTATTATTTACATATTTTCTCAATAAATGAAAAATTACAAAATATACTACGCGAATTATATCTTTTGTCTCAATTATCTAATAAAAATGAATTAGCATTATTCTACTGATACCAAGACTTCTTCAACTACTAATAAATGTCATGTTTGAATCAAAATAAATAAATAAATAAATGTCATGTTAGTTATGAATTTGTACATTTTGATTTATTCAATTATAAAAATATATCAATTGTATTATGAAGCTATTCAAGTCTAAAAATTTGACCACTTTCTAGACTTAGTGATATGTCAAGAAAATAATTGATTGATAATTAAATATTCTCTAATTATCAATCAATCATCTTCTTAATATATCATTGGATTTAGAAAGTAAGTCTAAAAAATAAACTTATATATCATTCTCCTTTTATTATTTATATCTACACTTCTCTGCTATAGTTTTTATATTTGAGGAGATCATAAATAAAAAGATATAGTGATATACTTGATAATAGTTAAAAAAAAGTTAGTGTAATTAATTCTTAAATTTTTTTCATACATTATTGATTAAGAACACTAGATACACAATATTGTGTGATAGTGCACAAAAACTGGATAATTACCTTTTTATCCAAGCTAAGCTAACCCTTTGAGTGATGGCTGGTGAAATTAATGTCCATTTGAATCTAAACGAGAATTCTACCGAAAATGGACCACAACACAAGTTTCACACCCAAGGAATCGCTACTTTATTAAGAGTAATGTTAGGGATATAAAAATTTTTACTAAATGAATGATTAAAGGGTCTGGCTTTGGTCCAGTCTGTCATCGGATTGGATCGTGCTGTTGGGCTCATGGGGGCCCACCACGGGTCCCGCTTTGAAAATCTGAACCGTGCAATGTGTAGAACTCGTCCAGTACTATATGATTGTAAAAAATCACGTTGATCGGATATCGATAATTATGTGATCAAATCAGTTTTGTATAAAAAAATGAACGGTGAATAAATCAACGATTGATAAAAAACTGTTTTGATCACATAGCTATCGATATCCGATCAACGTGATTTTTCACAGGCATATAGTACTCGATGAGTTCTACACATTGAACGGTTCAGATTTTCAAAACGGGACCCGTGGTGGGCTTCCACAGACCCAACAGCATGGTCCAATTTGATGGTGGACTGGACCAAAGCCAAGTCCATGATTAAATATCTCACATTATAAACCTCACATTCATATAAAATATTTAATTATTCATTTAATAAAAAATTTAAAACTTATAACATTTTCTCATTATTAATGACCCCCACCCCTCTCCCAGCTTTCCTGCCACTACCATCAACAAGTTGGGACCTACTCAAGGAACAAATTGAACTACCCATACTAGGGCTGAGCAAGGAATCCGTGAAATCCGTAATGCGATCCAATCCAGTCCAATCCGATAGGTTTGGATTGGTTTTTTGAATCAGCGGTTCGGTTTTGGAGTGAAGAATTAAAAATTCATAATCCACGGATTGGTTCTGGATTGAACTCCATGGTTCCGGATTGGAACCAATCCGGACCGTATACAAATAGTCTATATTTTTATTATACATTCTTCCCCATAGTATCTTCTCTTATTCTATATAAAATCTAAACTCAAACCTAAAACCGTATAATATCTTTTTTTATTACTTTTGTTTGTTAGTTTTTAGTTTTAATTTGTAATGATCTAAATACTTATGGTAAAACCAGTTTTCTTATAGTTATTTAAATTCTAGAACAGTATGTCGCTATTATAAAAAAACATATTGCTATTGTGGAACTAATATAGCGCTATGTTTATATTTTTATGAAATTAAAGTGTTATATATATATATATATTTGTTATTTAATTATGTGAATCCATGGTTCTAAACCGATCCAATCCGTATTTAAATGGATTGGTTCGGATTGGTTCCATGACTTAAACGGATTGGATTGGTTCCAATTTTTCAAGAACCGTAAATAACGAATTGGTCCTGATTTTATCCCAATCCGATCCAATCCAAACCATGCTCATCCCTAACCCACACCACACCAATGCTTTTAAGCTTGCTATTCTAGCGGTATTTTTTATATTTTGCTCCTTTATGTTTATAGTCATATTTTTACTTTATTTTATATTTGAAGTTTTTCTTAATTTATTTTTAAATGCTAATTTATATCCAAAATTACATAAAAAAAAATAACACGTTAATAGTTATGCGATATACGAATATTTTATTATATATAATTCATACTTCTAATACAAACTCAAATCTTAATGTGTTAATATATTTTTTTGTCATGTAACAGTTAGCGTGGCATTTTGTATTTAATTTTAAAAATAAATTGCCTTTAGAAAAAAATTAAGAAAAACTTAAAACATGAAGGACCAAAATAATATAAAAAAAAATCAAGTACCAAAGTGAAAAATAACCAAACATAAAGGAGCAAAGTGTAATTACCCTTTTGGTTATGTGCTTAAATAAATCTTGGGTTAATTAAACTCAGTATTTTTATTTTATTTTTTTTTACTTTCATTAAAATTTCCATTTCACTTATTCATTTTTAATGTCGGGTTACTTTTTATACTTTCATCATTAAAATAAGTGATTTTTTTGGGTATTATTTTCGTTTCTTGTTTTATTTTTTATTTTTTTCTAAAAAACATAGAGAATTTCTTTGACCAACTTTTTTTCTGAAAATTGTTTTTGAATTTTTTTTTAAAAAACAACCTACATTTTAAAAAATACCAAGAAGTTATTTTTAAATTTTTCTAAAATTATTTTCACACAAATAAAATGATATGAAAAAGATTTTTATTTTGAAATTGTTCGCTATGTTTATTTCAAAACTGAAAAAGAAAATAAAATCGATCTCCTCCTTTATATATAGGGTCAAGGATTTATAAAACAAAAGTAAGTTTACGAATGCATAATCCAATCGCATAAAACAGTTTTAATTATACATATCAGATAATGGAACCATTATAAAAATAACAATTTCACTCAAATTATTTCATTTATGTTTTGCATAATTAGTTCAA